GGTTCTTAAATTAGGACTACGTCGATATTCAGCTCGAATGCTCGGGCAAGTGCAATATTCTGTGTTGGACCTCCTCTACCTACGTTTATTGATATGAAACTTAGAGTAGGAGGGAGGCGGAAGGGGGCCCGTGGGGCGCCCTTTATGAGTGATTTTTCGGGATGACCGCCTCTGTGACCTCAGTCACGTTTGGTGTCTCAATCGTCATTAGAACCTCGTAGCTGTTATTGGAGCTGTAGTTCGGCGTAGCTATTTTGGCCATCTCAGTGGCGGCTTTGATATCGGCCTCTGCTCGTCGAACGGCGGTTTTCGCCCGGATCGCCGCGGCATATTCGCATTAGCTGGCGTACCTGATCTTTTCGAGGGTTTCCTTAGAAGCCATTCCGGACTTATTAGGGCGGGCTAGACAGTTTCGGCTGTCTGATCTGTGAGGACCCCCGCAATTGCGGCACTTGGTGTGTCCTTGGCATTCCGAAGTGGAGTGCATTGTTGAGGTGCAGTTCCAGCACACTGGGGCGCGCGAGCAACTCTGGGTCCCGTGGTATAAGAGACATCGCTTGCATTGGCTCACAGTTTGGCGTGGCTGATGGCGAACAGCGATTCCCGAGTCGTCAAATAGTCGGAAGCCTGGTCTAGGGACAGACGCTCTTTCAAAATGAGCTACCCATGTCTGGTATGGGGCTCCGACTCTCCCTTTTCCATGAGGGCGGACCCTTACCGGAACCTTTGAAGTGACCCTGGCGATTTCTTCGGCCACTATCTCGTCGGTGACAACTAATTCACCTAGGAGTGTGTAAATTGCGACGGAATTGTCGTAATACGAAGGTCCACTAAATCTGAGGCCTTCTCCAGGATTGCGTCTACCTGGACTAAAGACTCAGCAGAGTCTAGAAGGAGCTGTCGTACCTTCAGGTTTTTGGCTCAGAGTGCAAAGCCAGTCGGAACATGGTATACATGTTCAATATTCTGCGGGGGTAGCTCGAGCAATTTTGCTGTCGCATCTTGGACACCGGCCGGCGAGAGTGCGCGCCAAGCATGTTCTTTTCCGAGTCGAAGAAACAAACGATCATCTTTGGGACCAGTTTTCTTAGCTTTTGCCGGAGGTCTCGTTGGTGTCGGGGGTTTGTTATGGACCCGCACATCTTTCACAGGTGCTGCTGGCGTAAGGAGGCCAGTTCGGGTAACTGTTGCCCAGGTAGGTTTGACCTGGGTCACCTTGACCTGGGTCGCTGTTTGTAGCAGCTCTGGCTGCTTTTCAATCGTTTGTGCAACAATCTTTCCGCCATGATTCTGGCAGTTTGGTCGTGGGGGGAGGTTGGGAAGGACTGTTCCTGGTCCCGACATCATGAATTGAGCTATTGCAGCTCGGAGGTAGACTTTCATGGAGTCTATAAATTGAACGCTTGACCCCTTGGATAGAAGTGAGAGCGCATTCTCCACACCATTGATAGCAGCGTTGCATATTGTGAGATTAGTTGCGGTCTGGGCCGCTCGCTGTTCTTCGGCTTCAAGTATGGCTCGAAGCTCGGGAGGATAAGTCGCAGTGTTCTTGGAGTTGCCATCGCTGCAAGAAGTTTGATTATTTCCACTTGTCCTCGGAATGGGGTTCTGAGGGGCTGTGGTTGACGTGGCTTCGTCGGCCTTTTTTATGTTAACATTAGCTGTCCGCTTCATGGCCGGCACAGCAATCTTCCTCGTGTCTGAAATAACGGGGACCTCTGAGACCTGACCGTCTTCGGGTTCACTGACATTCCATCGTGAGCTCTCAAGCCCCTCCATGATATATCGGTCGATAACCGCATCACCCATTTCAACATCTGGATTTGTGGAGTTAGAGTCTTCTTCAAAGGCTCTTATCCTTTCGGTCATTTCCGACTCCATTTTTCCCTCGTCTATCGAGCTCAATGGTATGTTCTTTTTTGCCAAGCGCTTTTTCAGCCTGGTGTTCGCTCTATCAATTGTTCTTTGATGGCGAATAGGTCGCGATGATTTGGCAGGCCCCGGAGACATATTGGAGATCCGGGGTCTTGCTACTGTGAGAATTTGAATTAGTGTAATTATATGCGAGTCGGAGGGGGACGGTAATGGTAATGGGGTATCTTATTGATTCTCTCACAAATATTCATGAATTCTGGCTTTGATATTGTGTCATAGCTAGATAGCTGCATACGCAATTAAAATCTGATGCAAAAAAAAAGTAATGTGTCATCATGTGGGGATGCGCTAGTCAGGATCCAAAGTGTACAGTGCCTCTAGGTTCCAAAAGGTAAAACTTCAAGCTGGGTCGTTGAAGGGATTAGCCCTGTAGGTGAAGTTGGGCTAGCTCGTAATAGGTTAGTATGTCTCTCCTCCTTACCCCGCTCGCCATGAAGTATGGTCCAATCGTCTTCTTCTAATAATCGCTTAGAAAAACACATTTTCAACGACATTTTTGGCAGCCTAGCTTACACAGTCAATGAAACTTCACACCACTATCTATTCATCCTCTATTCTAACAAAAATGTCTCTCGAAAAGTCTGCTTCAGAAACTAAAGTTCGCAAGCATCTAACTGGCGATCAATGTATTGAAATAAGAGCATTAAGAAGACTTGGCTTGAAACTTCAAAACATATCCTACAAACTTGGCTTCACAATAAGACAAGTACAACTTGCGTGTGCTCGAGAGACTGAGAATCCTATGTCTCGCAAAGGACCCTTACCAAATTTAAGCGCGGAACAAGTTGATGAGCTTAAGGCTTTCGTCCGGAAATCTCCTGAAAATCGACAGATGTGCTATTTGGAACTAGCCATGGGGTCCTTCAGCCACTGGGGATGCAGTGAACGTTTAATTTCTAACGCACCGAAAAAAAGAGGTTACAGCAGATGCAATGCTCGGAAGAAGCCTCCGTTAAGCGCGGTGAACAAGCAGAAAAAATTGGAGTTCGCCCAATTACATTTAGATTGGAGCGATGAACAATGGAGTCGCATATTATGGACTGATGAAACCTGGGTATCGGGTGATTCTCATATGAAACTTCGTGTCACAAGAAAAATACGTTTAGATTCTATCAAAATCTTCCTTGTACTAACAGCAGAGTTTAGCCTGATGATGAGTTTAATGAGACTTGTATTGTGGTTCGCCATGCTCATGGGAACAGCTGGATGTTTTGGGGATCATTTTACGGATTGCCAAAAGGCCCATTCCTAGTCTGGGAGAAGGATTGGGAATCAATGAGGGCCTCATCCTTTTGCAAAAGTATTTTGCCACTTTTGAATCAATTTCACTCGGAAAATCCAGAAATTCTATACATGCACGACAACGCACGAAGTCATAAAGCGTACTCCACAATTGAGGCGCTGCGTGAAGTTGGAATAACGCCTATTAGATGGCCACCTTACTCTCCGGACCTGAACCCGATTGAGTCATTGTGGAATATCTTGAAAAACCACATTCAGGTAAATAGTCCAGAGAAAAATGGGGTCAGGCTTGTGCGCTCTGCCACGTTGAAGACATTGCTTCAGGATGCATGGGACTCTATATCTTCAGAGGAGCTATTATCACTAGTTGGCAGCATGCACGAAAGATGTGTAGCAGTGATAAAGGCAAATGGAGGGTACACAAAGTATTAGGATGGAGAAGACACACAAAACATGTAGTACGCTTTCATTTTAGTTGCGAGCCATACTGAGGGCTTCGATGTAGACTTTTGTAATACAGAGCAATGATTTTTGAAATAGATGTGCATTTTTAGAGACTATCAACTGACGTTTTTCAATTTTGAATTTCAACTGAGGACCATTGTACCTTTCCCATTGAGTTCAAAACCATCCCCATAATTTAGACTTTCACGGAATGTCATTGGATAGTGCCCCTTGCTTGCATAACTAGTCGAATAACTAGACATGGGCCTGCATGAAGACCATACCAAATAAGGCAAAATGTACAGGGATCTAACCCCAGTCATTTTGACAATTTTAGCTTTGCCATCCATAAGAGACTGTAGCTTGGTTACCCCTGTAATCGCTTTGAACGTGACTGTGCACAGATGGAATCAAGACGCACTACTTAAACAGAATTTATATTCAGTACGCATGCATAATTAAAATCAGATCAAGACACAAAGATATCATGGGTAAATAAGCTAGCCATTCTTAACCAACCGCTACGCTTCCTTGGCCAGTTGGCTATGTGGTCAATGGTGTAGAGTGTATAGCAAACTCATCCGATGTACCGCAAGTCAAAGATACTTCATTCAATTCAATAAGGCGCCACTACCCTCGCATTACTCGATGGAAGGGATATTATGAGGATTTAAGTATTCAATGGGCCTTATAGGTTTCTCACTATCAGGAATGTACAGAAGAGAAAGCGAAGTAAATTGTCAAAGCAAAGCCAGGTGTAGATGCTCGTGAATCAAAAGTAGCACATAGTTTAGCTCTTGCGTTAGAAGGTAATGGGTATTCCGAGCGCTCAAGAATAAAGCTTGCTACATCTTATTGTACGCCAACTAAGGTCACATAAGACAGGATTTGAACGGTTTGGCTTAAACAAATTTGCCTGTATAAGATTGCATTATCAAACGCTCATTATTCCAGACAAATATGATGACTGTTATACGGTAATTAGTCTCAAGATTTGTCAAAGAGATGCTGGGGTTTCCCATTGCGGACTGGCCCTGCTTTCTAAGCAATCAAATGTATTACCCTGTATGTGTGGTCTGATGACAGGAGGCTGGATGGGCATCATAATATACTGTGATTTGTCGAGTACCAAGGACAGGGTATTGGATAGTTCTATGACCAGTCAGGTCACTCTGATGATTAACACTAGATAGCAAGTCGTGAGCAAAAAGTACCCCTCAAATTTCCTACCCAGTTCGCAGTTTATGCCCCGGCTCCAGGTTCCCGATCAGCAAGGCCTGCTACCACCACTCCTGGCTGTCTAAAGACATCAAATACGACCATCATTGCGCCTCTATTATACCGATCCAGCGTTAAGTTAAACACTTTATTCATCTAAAATGACATCTACTAGAAAAGTAAATCTACCTCTAATCCCACTTCCAAAAGATACAGTACTTCTTCCAGGTGTTGTTTTACGAATACCAATTGCAAGCAACAGGCCAGATATTCCAGCACTTTTAGCCAAAATATATAACCGCGTAGCAACTAAAGCCTTCCACCAGAGGTCAGACCATGCACATGTTGTCTGTGTTCCTTTGAGCTCGCCTTTTGTCAATATAGATAGCCAAAACTCGAAGTTTGAAGACGAGCAAAGTCCGAGGCCTAGAGATGAGGTCGAAATTAATCCAGTCAACGCTACGACGGAGGATTTATTTGAATATGGGGTAGCCGCAAGAATTTCCGGAGTTGAGGGGCGCCGAACGGGAGAAGTTGCAGTTTTAGTTGAAGGAATTGTCCGAGTCAAGATTGATAGATTGACCAAGCAAAGGCCCTTTTTTGAAGCGGATGTTGTTTATGAAAATGACTCTGGTCAGTACGAAGATGCGAATTTATAATATGAACTAATTTATACAGTAATATCGTCAGAAGACAGTGTCCTGCAGGATTTATTTGCACAGCTCAAGCAACTCTCTCGAGAACTAGTTACATTACTTCGGCTTTCATCAATGGTACCTCGATCTTCTGGGCCAAACGCTCTCTCACCAATGCTAGCCCGCCGTCTTGAATTCTACATCTCCAGGAAAGGCCTAACAGAAGCTGGACTGTTGGCGGACTTCATGACAAATATCATTGAAACTTCTTTGGAGGAAAAACTACAAGTTTTGGCCGCTGTAAATCTGAAAGATCGCCTTGAAAAAGCTATCAAACTCCTTACCCGTCAAATAGGAAGCATGAAGAATAATTTAAGTATCTCCACAATCTCAACAAGCAACCTACCTCAAAATAATGACTGGGGAAGAGCCAATAAGCAGCGAGGAAGAGCACGAGTGATAGGTGACACACCTATGTCACCAGGAATAGCGGGCCCAGAAGATGATCAAGAATCAGATGATATAGACGAGCTTAAGAAAAAGTTGGAAAATGCCAAAATGACGCCTGAAACTGCAAAAATCGCAGATCGCGAATTAAAGCGCTTGAAAAAAATGTCGCCAGCACAAGCAGAGTTTCAGGTCGCTAGGAATTATCTTGAGAACTTGTCTGAGATACCGTGGACCCTAATGACGGAGGATCGCCTCGGTGCTGATACGCTACAAAATGCACGCAAGCAATTTGACAACGATCATTATGGCCTTCAAATTGTCAAAAAGAGACTCCTAGAATATTTAGCAGTTCTAAAACTAAAGCAGTCAATAAATGAGGATATCAACGTTAGAATTGAAAAGGCAGTTGAGGAAAGTTCCAATGACAAAATCCAAGTCTTGCAGAGCCAGAAAATGATTGACAAATCACCTATTTTGCTACTTGTTGGACCACCAGGGGTAGGGAAGACAAGCCTAGCGAAATCAGTAGCTACCGCGTTAGGACGTAAATTTCACAGAATATCACTCGGCGGCGTTCGAGATGAGGCCGAAATAAGGGGTCATCGCCGAACCTATGTTGCTGCCATGCCTGGTCTTATTGTACAAGGGCTTAAGAAGGTTGGAGTCTGTAACCCTGTATTCCTTCTCGATGAAATTGACAAAATTGGGTGCGTACTCGAAGTCTCCATATAATGCCTTCAAGGCTAACTCTTTTAGCACGTCAAACTTCCATGGAGATCCAAGCTCTGCGATGCTTGAAGTTCTCGACCCTGAGCAAAACCATAGCTTCATTGATCATTATATCAATATTCCTGTTGATCTTAGTAAGGTATTGTTTATTGCGACTGCGAACAGTCTTGATACAATATCACCCCCTCTTCTGGATAGAATGGAGATGATAAGTCTCTCCGGATATACAACATTAGAAAAACAACATATAACTCTTCGTCACTTGGTTCCCAAACAAATTAAGACAAGTAGGTTAATGTTTATGAAAAACCCCCAACAACTGACTCGCCACAGATGGTCTCAAGGAGGGCCAAGTTGAATTTCCCAAAGAAGTTGTTTCCAAAATAATTGAATGTTACACCCGGGAATCCGGAGTCAGGAACCTAGAGAGGGAAATTGGGTCAATTTGTCGTGCTAAGGCTGTAGAGTTCGTGGAAGCTCGAGATAGCAAACGTCTCCGTAAACTCTTTACATCGGAACCCCAAATCAAAACTAACATGAGCCTCAGAATCCTACAAACCCTTATTATCAGTGGAGGATGTCCAAAATATCTTGGGGGTTGAAAAGTACGAAGAAGAAATCGCTGAAAAGTCAAGGTGATTATCCACCCTTATTAGTGTTTTGCCACTCACGACTCTATTTGAACCCCCTGTTAACAACTTAAATATCTAACCCTTGCTATTTCGAATGGAAACTAATGCAATAATTAGTCGTCCCGGTATTGTAACAGGCCTAGTTGCTTATTCATCTGGAGGTAACGGTAGTATACTGTTTATCGAGGTAGCCGATATGCCTGGTAGCGGTAGTGTACAACTCACAGGCAAATTAGGTGATGTACTTAAAGAGAGTGTTGAGGTTGCTTTGAGCTGGGTTAAATCTCATGCATACGAACTTGGACTAACACAGGACACCTCGGAAAATATTATGAAGAATCGCAGTTTACACGTACACTGCCCTTCTGGCGCTATACCAAAAGTATAAGTTACAGAATTTGATAAATATTTAATTTCGCTAACAATAATAGGATGGACCTTCTGCTGGTATGGCACACACTATTGCATTGATTTCGCTGTTCTCTGGAACTGCTGTCCCTGCTAACATGGCTATGACCGTAAGGAACAACTTTTAATTTCGAAATTTCTTACTAACAGAACTAAGGGTGAAATATCATTAAGGGGCCGTGTCATGGCTGTTGGGGGTATCAAAGAGAAGCTAATTGGGGCACTCCGTGCTGGTGTCAAGACAGTCCTATTGCCAGCTCAGAACTTAAAGGAGTAAGTTGAACAATATTTGTGCTTTGTAAGTATTACTGACATATAGTAGTATTAAAGAACTGCCACAAGAAGTGAAAGATGGGTTAAAAATTATCCATGTTAGGTGCGTGTTCCAGAACATTCTTCAAGACATCTTCTCCCTTAAGTTAGTAACATATTTTATTATGAGGCTGACAAATTAACAAGTCATATATGGGAAGCTATGCGTCATGTCTGGCCACATGCCCACTGGCCAGGCGAGCAAAGCTTTATTGGCATTGAAAGTCAGCTTTAATTTCACATTTCCTTGCACCGTAAACACGACCAAAAATTATCACGAAATTAGTCAGCTATGACACTGATTTTACGGACGAGTTTAGAGGGAGTTTTCAGCTTTAGATTTGGCGTTGGTTGCCTAGATATATGAAATTGTAGTAGTATACCGAGGTCTTCTGTAATTTATTGGTTGGTATAATTTTTCATGCAAATATATTTAACAGTAGATTTAAACCCACCTGGAAAATGCTGTGTTCATGTTACGGGCTAGGCCCGGCTGGGTTCTGGCTGGGCTGTTTAAGGCTATAGGGCCCATCCTTATCTTGAAGGCTCAAGCGAGTTTGTAAATCTTCTCACTATACGGGAGTATTATCAGATCACGTGTAAATGGCAAGGGTATCGGGAACAGGCATTGTAGTTATGAAGAGCCACAGCTTCCCGCTAGTAATTTCCTCATAGAAAATATAAACATTTAATTGTGGCATTGCTTTCGTGCATTGGCCGAAAGTCCTAGCCCGTCACAGTTCAAGAATTCATAGTCTCCTGCATGTAGTGTGTACAATTTTTCATTTACACGTACATAATCATTCCATAAATCGATTTAGGGTTTGATATTAAAAATAGTTTGTAGTTTATTCATTATTGGATTAATTAATTATTATTTCGTTTTATTGTCCTATTTAAGTCTATGAATATGTAGGACATGCAGGCCCTCTCTGCCTACAGGCCAAAGATATCTGTACCAGTAGTTTGTTCCCTCCTATGCCTCCCATACAGCTCCCCTCAAATAGTACCGCCCCTCACAAGTCCTCATTCGATCATACACTTAGAGAAGCCCTTAGCTCTTCATTATCCCTCCTCTCCAGCTAACGAAACGATGGCAATTTGCGGATGTATGGCAGCCGGGAAAAATCGCAAAAACCACTAGGTGCGTGTCTTTTCTAGTATCGAAATTAGGACTAGATCCTAAGGTATAGTGACCCTTCCGAAGCGTTCGAAGAGGCCGACCAGCCGGGTGCAGCAGACTTGTGTACACCTACGAGCGTCTCTCAACCTTCCTAGCCTCCTCCTTACTCCTCTCCTGGTTTATGCCACAGGATAATCCAAGGTTCGTAAAAGGGGGTTAGAATAGTCTTGGTCTGAGAAATTGCCGTGAAGTATCCTAGCCTAACATCCAAAAGTTGTTACGGGCGTGGGGTCTTTGAGTAATTCATGAAGTCTGGACACCCTCCTACACCGGTGAATTTAAGATGCGATTAATAGCTACTAATGTCAGCTTATATCCTTCTCCGCGGTCTACATCCAAATTTGTACGCCAAGTCTCCAAATTGAGAATAAAAATGGATAAACCTGACCTGGCCGGTGCGTGTATGGTTTCGTCGCCTGCAAATACACGATGGCTCAGGAATCTTGGAATTCTCATGACCTGTATAAACCTTGACCACAACTTGTGGAGATTTCGGCAAACAATTAATGAGATTTTGCACATTTTGATTTTTTTGATGAGTAATTTAACGTATCAGGCAAAAGCTCCACACCCAGGAGGCTTGAGACAGGTGCATGTTTCCGAAGGACCCACGACTACCTACAAAGCTAGCTTAATACAGCCAGAAATTTACATGAAGATCAAAAACATGAAGAAAAACTGAGGGCGAAGGCTGAACACCTTTCAGTGGTGCCCTCTACGAACCTGGGAGTGAAATACTCTTCCAGAGCTGAGATTCAGTCACTAAAAAGGGTGAGATGAATTTTTTTAATGGATTTTCGACTTGAAGGAGTTGCACTCGATATTTTGGTCGAAAAATCAGTCGGCAGAGATTTCACAGCCGGAACAATGTCGAACAAAAAGTCATCACCACCAACATACGATTCACGAATGGATTTAGGTCTATCTGGGGGTCGCATTCAAACATTCAACATCTCTTAAACTCCTTTTATATTTACGACGAAGCATTTCTCAGTCGATCCTATACCTGCGACCCACTTATATAAATTGAAATTAGTTCCGGAGATTGGAAGAATTACACACTAGCCTCGAGTTTGATTAAGAGATACGATAAATGTATTTACTATACGAAGAAGTTTACTGATGTTTAATGGATAGTTAATTGTGATTAAATTGCTATAATTCTATATGTGTGGCGAGAAGTCCCTCTATATACATGAAAGCGGGGTTTTCCGCACACTAGTGTGAATTCCAACATACTCCCTAATCTAACCTAAACGGAAAGGTTGTTGGAGATCCTGAAACCAATGTATACTGTTAGGCATCTATTGGCTAATTACTATTCATGCCAGTGAGTGATGATATGGGTTAATCATATCTCATGGCGCCAGTGCATATTATTCTAATATGTACTATTTGTTTACTGCAGTCATGTTGCTGCCTTAATTACAACAATATACTCGTCCGATCACCTACCTATACACGCCCTAACGAGGAAAGTCATGATGGAAACGGGACGTGTAAAAGGGAGGAAGAAGAGGGAAGATACACTGAGGGAATTACACAAATCCCCAATGACGAAAACAACCCAACGGTATGATATGTAAAGGTGCAAGGCTAGAGCAACGATGAGGTCTTGGACGGCATTTATACTTCGGAGTCAATGAGGATGTCAAGGGCTTGGGCGCGTGGTGGCCGAGGCTGAGGAGGAAATGGTGCTACGGCGTGTATACAGCGGGTTTCTGGACGATTAGGCTTGGTATGATTCAACACATAAGTGAAGTCTGAGGTGGTCTGGTCATTTAAGTGCGACGAGGTATATCTATACTTCACGGTCGTTAACCTGATCCGGCCCGATCCCACTCGTGCTTAAGCTCCAGCAGGAGTGCAACGGTAGTCATGTAACCTAGTACGTTAATGAACAGAACAAACAAAAACAAAACATGAAGAAAAACTTTTGCCGCCCTGACTCGACGCCCTGCGCCTGACCAGCTTTCTCGTAACAGTCTGCCTGTAATATTTGTACTCCAGAAAACCTCGGTCATCCTAGACTAACTCTGCTCCACATAAAATCCCGTCACGGTAAGGAATCGATAAAATGCTTCCCATCTCTGTTCTCTTTACAGTGCCCATCTACTTGGCATTGTCTCATTTGTTGTCTTTCGCCACTGTTTTAGCTCTATCCAGAATTCCTAGAAATGCCACGGGCGTCTTTCTCGGCCACATTTGCACCTACAGTCTATTCCTTCGTGGTGAAACCTGTCATGATACTTGGAGAAGTTTCCGTGACCAGTCCTAGCCGCTACTAGACCACGTTACGCCCATCTTGGTAGAGCTAGCTCAGATGGTCGTTTTCGTTTCGTCAATAAGTCCAGGCCTTTGTACCGACAAGGTCTATTTTCTCGTCACCAAAATTCGATAGTCTCCTCACCCCGGTTTCTGACGTATCGGTTCAGCGCTGTATAAGTTTATATTTGTCTTTGATTTGATCTTGATGTAAAGATTGTGTTTGAGAAAACTGAAAGATTCTTCAGAGCTGATTTCGCTAGATTATGCGCATGAATGTTCCCGAGAATACCAGAATGGTTTGTGATCGATCGTATCTCTACTAACTCGTTCACTCGTAACAGAGATATAAATCGGTCAACTGAGGCTTGAGTCGACTTGCTTCGGCCTGTTCTGAGGGAGTGAAAATTTTCAGAGTTATCGAGGAGTATCTTGATGGGAGACTCTCCTGCCAGTATTACAGCTGCCTCCAAGGCTTTCTGAGCGCCTAAAAGTTCTGCGTCGTACAATTATACTCCCAGAATCATACTAGCATCGCTTCCAATCAGCCTATTTACTTTGTATGCGGCGTATACCCATGTAGATCTGGCTGGGCCGCTTGATGAGCCATTGGAGTAGGCACAAATAGTATGAGACTTCGCATGGTGCTTGGTTATCTAGCTGTTGTATTTTAGTAAATTAAATGAGTATATAACCATTTCTATCGATTGAACTAATTGTACGTATAAGGTTAGTTCAATGCAAAATGAAAGATACAAAAGTGAGGTATGTATTGGTCTAGATTCTCTGTCCATGAACATTATGGACGTAGAGTTCGTTGTATTACTTGAGTCATCAAGACAATTACTCAGCAACGGAGAGGTGAAACGCACTTAGTGCACACCAAGTAGAAATATCTTTCAACAATTACCTCTATTTGAAACAACAGAGATATATCTTGATGGTCCATGCTACGCTGATATTATGTGATTTACATAGCTACGCTTCCATTACACTTACGTTAGCCATCACAGCACTAGCCATAACGAGTCTGTCTAATCTATTGTAACTTCAGTTTGTACCGTAGATTTGCGTTTTAGTTGCTTGCACATGTCCAACAAATGCAGTCTCCAACAACTTCTCCCTCGGGCCCTTCTTTGTTTGGGTGGTTGAGCGCCTCAGCTACAAGAGCAATTAGCTCTGGCGTCCTTTGCCAGCGGGTGTAGTTGGCGCATATGGGCTGCGGCCAGTGCCATATGGACCTAAAATACCACAAAACAAAAAAACAAAATTGCTAAATCGAGCCAACTTGATAGAAACCCCAGACGTTTAGAACATAGCCATCGGTTTGCATCGATTATCCCGGATCCTTTTACAAGACTATCATCGCTCACAATCACTTGGACATCCTGATACATAGCGTGCCCCCACACAGACACTCCTAGGCTATACAGATACGAATATTGTCTTTTTACTTATTGTGTTGATAAATTGGGACTAAGAAGTTTATCCCAGAGTGAAGTAATGTGATTGATTGATCTTTATGAAGTATTCCATCTCTCTTTAAATACAAGCCCTTCCGTCCTTCATCCGATCACCCGCGTACAGACCATATGATCTCCCCATACTATTGTGCAAGCTTAATGTGTCAAATAGTCCTAAGTATGAAGTAATAACATGATTAGTTCCAATATCGCAAACAGGAACTGTCATCAGCGACTAATACTAGTACCAGTTTACAAGTCGTAGATAACACGAATATAGATAGTTACAGGAATACGACTCGTACATGATTACATGAGTACAAA